GATTAAATAACTGATAAGAGATCTTTTATATTTTCATTTTGAAACGAATAATATTGTAACTAAGAGATAGTATCGCAATGTTGATTGTATACAAAGCATATTTAGAAGGATGAGTTTATTAAATTTAATGAGTTTGAAAAGGTTAAAAGCATGTATTTTAGCATGCAGCAACAGAATCACCGGAAGAACAGGCTCGCGTGACAATTGCTATTAATTACAACGGTACTAAACAAGTTTCTAATATATTATTTCCTCTCATTAGAGATGGTGGAAGGTTAATTTTTTACCTGTTAATCAAAATTTCACTGTACTGCGAGCGTTTTTTGTTTTTTCATATGACTTAAGCAATGTTAGTCTTTGACTTTTCAGATTAATTCCATTTCTACAGTGATAAAATTGTTGCTAAACTTACCGGTCCCTCGTTAACAGTTGCTGATATCGACAGTTTCACTCATGACTACATAAAGTAAGGGCTTAGACTAATATTAACTTTATACTTTGAATTAAAATCTTATAATTAAATATGAAGAGGTGATAAAAGTATTTATTAAGTATTTATTACTGAAAAGAATAATTTTGTCTCTTTGTTTTTTAATTTGTGGCTCTAATGAGGGGATTGTTTATTCAAAACACTAAGTTGCTCAATTTTCGGAATGATTCACGAAGAGGATTTCTTTATTGGGAAATATCCATTGAAAATTTTTACAGTGCCATCCCGGATATGTTAATACAGATACTACAAGTCATCATAACCCTCCAACAATTGAAGAGGGTGCTGATACGCCTACTTATTTAGCAACATTGGAAGGCAATGATGGACCAACTGGAAGATTAAAGATTGCAAGGGATTGCAAGGGCAGCATGTGGAGGGGCAAGAGGACCAAGATTAAATGTGGAAAGGGAGCAAGATTAAAGATTGTAAGAGGAGCATGTGATTATGACTGTTACGGAAAATTCATTCCAATCTGTTTGATAGTTCAGTACACTCAAATGATATATCTGTAATCATTTCCATTGCAAATTCACTTTAATTGGTTATGGTAATGCTTGCTTCAGACAGAACAATGTAAAATATACTGTATTCTAAGCATTTGGATAAATGTGTTGATACAATGTAAAATCGATAGTAGACAAGTTCATCTCATATTTTCACAATTCATTAAACTTATATGGTTTGAAACAAAAAATTCTAGTTAATATACATTATCACTATTACAACACTGAAGAATTGATAAGAATGAAAACGTTGCAAAAGCTTATCTTTTTAACATGAAATTTAACTGAGGTTACTTTAAAAATTTGATACATTAAATTAAAGAAATCAACACGATCACTACGACATTTCAGCTATCATTGCGGACTTCAGAAGAACTTTTTTCATTCTTGGCAATGACTGCCTTATATTTGCTAAGTGATAACAAGACTTACTCTTACGTAGTGATTTACGTAAATATTACTTTTATGTAAATTCACATAAAGCCTTTGTAATATAGGAACTACAAATGGGTTATTACTTTTCATATTTCTGCTTCCCATGATCCATACTTTTAGCATGACCAATGGTTAATTGTTTCGTGGAGCAGAAATTGGAATATTTGCAGTCGTGATATCAGTTACCGTTTCACGACAAAAAAGGTTTTTACGGATGCATTCCGGTAATAATTCTTTTACGCGGCATGCAACATCATCCTGCTTTATCATGATTGCAGCTACATTTGTTCAAAAAAGGATGTTTTACATCAACATGATAGATCAAGTACCATAATAAGCATGAAGTTTTTGTAATCTAAGAATTACAAATGAGTTATTGGTTTTATATTTCTGCTTCCCATGATGCATACTTTTAGCATGGTCAACGGTTAATTCTTTCAGTAATCGGAATATCCGCAGTTGTGATGTTAGTAACCTTTTCACGACAACAAATGTTTTTATGAATACATTCCGGTAATAATTCTTTTACGCGGCATGCAATATCATCTTGCTTTACCATGATTGCAGCTACATTTGTTAAAGGATTCACATTACAGCTGATTGCTACTATTGTACGGACAAATTCGGAATAGCGGGTTGTTGGATCGTTATCATTATCCTCCACCAACAATTTGAAGCACAATGGTAGCACGTAGAAGATCAATGTAAACACGCAGGAAACACCCATTGTAATGGTTAGTTTACGTTGACGTGCTTCAAATAATTGCAATGATGCTTTCTGAAATATAGAATATTGGAGCATTCAGATTAATCAAAACTGTTATACCACATACTTCTGGGAATAATGGGTCTGATTATATTGGTTATTGATTCCGTTTAGTCTACTGGAGTCAAATTATCGATATTAATATTTCGATCTCCTGGATCTGGTGAGTTATTTCACTTAGCAGTTACCGTTATCAGGTATGTCGACTAAATTTTGTAAAAGCTTCAAATTTTAACTTTTTAATTTCTTTTAGCATCGTTCTAAGATTGTTTTGTGAATGAGTCAAATTTGAATGTTCAATATGGCCTTCATAATTATTATTTACTTGCCCATCGATGAAATGGCTGCAGCAATTGCTGGTTACAATACTCGAATTCAAAAATAAATTTCAGGAATGGAAAAGACTCAATCCCAATTGAACGAGGAAATTAGAAATTCAGGGAAAACGGTAAGTATAAATATACCGGACGGTTGCTTTTTATCCGGTGAAGGTGTTTTCTGCTCAGGAAGTACACAATAACGTAGAGGATGACACTTAAAGATGCGGTAGCAATCATCAACAAAAATTGCAAATCAGCGAAAAACGAATACAGAATATCACCTGTCCTGAAAAGGCTTCTTTCATAGGATGCTCGACGATTTGGTTCACAGAATTATCTGTGACAGTTTAATGAGCTAATGAACTAATGACGAATAATGATTTACCTACCAACAGAAACCATGTAACGTGGTTTCATTATCTCTGAAGGAAATAAAACAGGCGATGGCGACAAAGAGGGATACTGAACCGAAAAAGACAATGATCTGAAAAAGAATATCTTCCACCTGAAATTCTAGAATCAGGTACTTTTACAATTATCAGTTTTTTATCTAACTTTCATCATATTTACAGATTGAAAGAGTGCAAAGATAAAAAAAGTGTTTCGAGATTTTTTATTTAAAAATACGAATTTTTTAATCGCTCTGTTAAAAATGCCGACTAACCTGCCTGACTTGATATATATAATTATTCTCATAATATCGCACGGGTGATATAAACAAAATGATGCGATCCGTACTCACCATGAGTGTTGCTGCAGCTGACATTAACTCCGACCTAAGTCATTTTTGTTACTCACAAATTAATTAGCATTGTAATAGCAAATGGGTAATAGAGAAAGTGATAGAAATCTGCAAATGAAATAATAAATAGGTAAAAGAAAAGCAAAGTGCAAGAAATTACCATATACTAACTGTAAACCATGGTAGCAACAAGCAGTGTCGTCTGGTTTTTCTGTGGTATCCAAATTCCATCATAATAAAACGACTGATTGCGGTTAGACAATATGCAACTCCCAACAAAGCATCAGTAAAAGCCTGATGAAGAAAGTTGATTAAAAAGTAGGCAGACGGATCAACTGCCTGATGTGATCTTAATTAATTACCTGCGCAAACAAAATGAGATATTGGCGTCTGAGATATTGATGTTTAATTAGTGCCATTTCAATAAAACCATTGCTAATGGCAAGGATGAATCCTTGAAATACATAGATAGCAAATGCAATTGTAAAAAATAGGTGATTATCTTCATTTAATTTACCGCTATCTTCATAATCATTTGCGGTGATATTCATTGCCGGAACTGTAAATTACAATTGGACTGTATTAAAAAATAACCCAATAATAGAACCTTTAATGATTTCGGAAAATAAAGTTGAAACTTTCAAAAAATCATCATTGCGTGAACTGATAAGAAATCAATCAATAGACTGATAATAACATCTGTCAGTATAATAAACTTAGCAAGAATGGAACAATCATTAAACAATTACAAATCTTTCTGCAATGACGAAGAAAGGTTTATTTCAATATGTTTAGTGAAATGTCTTATTCAGAATGTATTATTACCAATCAAAAAGTTAAGCTTGTAAAGTCTCAAAGTCTCAAAAACTCAAAGGTTATAATCATTTTTGGAATTATTTTAGTGATTAGAATTCTGAAGGTGATAATTTTTAATACATAATACTTGATAATACATTAAGCTTTAATATTCAGAATATTCAGAAAGAAATATTCAGAACTGTTGAAATTCAAAAGAAAAATTTTTTATCAGTGAAGAGTGATGGCTCAATTAACAATTCACTCACAACACGAAGGAAAAGCATATTCGGCAAACCAATGAAATTTATTACAAACTTATCAACAAAAAGAAGCCAAGAAGCCAAAGGAGACATAAGCAACAAATTGTCAGTGATGGCTATAATTATAGTAATAGATTGAATGTCAACAATATTAATTAACAAGAATTTCAAACTAAATTATTTCCTTTCTCTCCCACAAATATTATTAAATATAATTGTTTAATTTTAGCTGCCACTAAAATTATATACTCAAAACTTTGAAATTTTTAAGAATGCAACTTTTCAATAACCGAAATTTCCACATGTAATCGAATTTCCTTTTTTACTTTTATCTTCTTTCATTTCTCTAACTTTTTTAGATTTCACCATAAAACCAAAAATATGATATTTGCCTTTTTGCAATGAAATATATCAGAAATTGTCGTCTGCCAAATTTGAATCTCTTCTCATTTACAACTGACTTGAATTTGTGCTTATCTCATTTGATAGCTGATATCTTCCGAATGTATATATAATGCAATTAAAATTTCCTTCTATTAAATGAAATGCAATAGCTATGCTGATAAGACGGAGTGATAATAGTATTGGAATATAAATAGAATTCATCACTGATAATTTAAATAAGTTAAAATAACATTAACACTAATTAATTGTTCATGGATCGAATAATAAAATATTTCTATATTTTCACTGCTATGATCACATTTCTCATACTCGCTAAGGGAGAACATCAACAATGGGCCAAGGAAAAGGAGCCTCAACAAAGCATGGAAGATATTGTTCGCCGATTATGTTAGTTTTATTTGCGATTCGGTCAAAAAGTTATCTGGAGAAAAAAAATCACATTTATAGTAACAAGTTGAACAAAGTTTATCTTCAGCTCCTTCGTACAAAATCTTTTCGTAAAGTCTGAAACATCGTGATGACAAAAAAGCAAACACTTTTTGAAAACTATAATCAATCCCACAGCTTGGTGTGGTTAAGCCTATTTTAATTCCACTTTTGGATGAAGATTTTGGTGATTCAATCATTCACATTACGGGTTTCGTTTTCATATCACGACGATTATTAATTGCTACTTGTTAAGAATACTTATTAAGGGAAAAAGGAGAGAGGAGAGTCTTTCCTTCCTTAAATTGTTTTATGGATCATTGTAATTGTCAATAATCTTTCTATTTCTTGACAGTTAAGTTAATGAGCAATTGAATACGGAATCATTGGACAAATTGATAAAAGAATTGGGTAATAAGCGCCATTCTGACATTCATTTTCATCAATTTGTCATTACCGATCGCAACAGTTGCGAGAATTTTGCTTCCTATTTGAAAAAAGAACACAATGGATTGGATGCATTGATTAATAATGCAGGATTTGCTTTCAAAGTGATTAAATAACTGATAAGAGATCTTTTATATTTTCATTTTGAAACGAATAATATAAGAGGCAGGATCGCAACGTTGATTGTATACAAGCATATTTAGAAGGATGAGTTTATTAAATTTAATGAGTTTGAAAAGGTTAAAAGCATGTATTTTAGCATGCAGCAACAGAATCACCGGAAGAGCAGGCTCGCGTGACAATTGCTATTAATTACAATGGTACTAAACAAGTTTCTAATATATTATTTCCTCTCATTAGAGATGATGGAAGGTTAATTTTTTACCTGTTAATCAAAATTTTACTGTACTGAAAGCAGTTCTTGCTTTTTCGCAATGTTAATCGTTGTCTTTTCAGATTAATTCCATTTCTTTATTTAGAGTTGTTGATGTAAGCAACTTAGAAGGTGCCATTGACGAAAGTTACAATGATGAAACTATTGCTGAAGTTGCAGAAAAATTCATTCCAATCTGATAGTTCAGCACTCTCAAATGATATATCTGTAATCATTTCCATTGCAAATTCACTTTAATTGGTTGTGGTAATGCTTACTCCAAATAGAACAATGTAAAATATACTGTATTCTAAGCATTTTGATAAATGTTGATACAATGTAAAATCGATAGTAGACAAGTTCATCTCATATTTTCACAGTTTATTAAATGTAAGTATACAAAATGCCTTCTGACTATTCTCTATGATATGCTTAAGCGAAAATTATCGATTTTTTGCAGTCCTCAAATAAGTAAAAGGAGGGTAAGATTTTTTTGCTTAGAACGATAATATAGTATTAATCGATCGAGCATTGACAAAGCAAAATATTTCTTAGCTAATATCAAAGAAGGATATTTCACTTCACCATTGAGTCATATCTTAAAGTACCACAATAAACATGAAGTCTTTGTAATCTAGGAATCTACAAATGAGTTATTACTTTTCATATTTCTGCTTCCCATGATCCATACTATTAGCATGATCAATGATTAATTGTTTCTTGGAGCAGTAATTGCAATATTTGCAGTCGTGATATTAGTAACCGTTTCACGACAACAAAGGTTTTTATGGATGCATTCCGGTAATAATTCTTTTACGCGGCATGCAACATCATCTTGCTTTATCATGATTGCAGCTACATTTGTTAAAGGATTCATATTACAGCTGATTGCTACTACTGTACGGACAAATATGGAATAGCGAGTTGTTGGATCACCGTCATCATCGTCCATCAACAAATTCGTACACAATGGTACCACGTAGAAGATCAGTGTAAACACGCAGGAAACACCCATTGTAATGGTAAGTTTACGTTGACGTGCTTCAAATAATTGTAATGATGCTTCCTAAAATATATAATATTGGAGCTTTCAGACCATTCAAAACTGTTATTCCACAGATTTCTGGGAGTAATCGGTCTGACTGTATTTGGTTACTGAATTCGGTTAACCACTGGAATCAAATTATCGATTTTATATCACGTATCTGGTAAGTTATATCACGTAGCAACACCGTCGTCAGATATGTCGACTCAATTTTATAAAAGTTTCAAGTTCTAGATTCTTAAATATTAATTTCTTTTTGTGTCGTTTTAAGATTGTTTTGAGTATGAGTTACTTTGAGGTGCTCAATTAGGCCTTCATAATTATTATTTACTTGCTGATCGATGAAATTGGTGCAGCAATTGTTGGTTCTAATATTCGAATTCAAAACAAGTTTCAGGAATGGAAAGATTCCGTTCCAAATGAACGATGAAATGAACGATTGGATAAATCAGAAAAACAGCAAATATAAATATACCGGTCGATTGCTTTTTATACGGTGAAGATGTTTTCTGCTCAGGAAATACACAATCATGTAGAGGGTGACACTTAAAGATGCGGTAGCAATCATCAACAAGAAATGCAAATCAGCGAAAAACGGATACAGAATATCTCCTGTCCTGAAAAGCTTCATTCATAGGATGTTCGACAATTCGATTTGCAGAATTATCTGTGGCGAACTAATGAACTAATGACTAATAATGAATTTACTTACCAGCAAAAACAGTGCAACGTGGTTTCATTATCTCTGAAGGAAATAAAGCAGGCGATGACGACAAAGAGGGATACTGATCCGAAAAAGACAATGATCTGAAAAGGAATATCTTCCACCTGAAATTCTAGAATCAGGTACTTTTACAATTATCAGTTTTTTATCTAACTTTCATCATATTTACAGATTGAAAGAGTGCAAAGTTAAAAGAAGTGTTTCGAGATTTTTTATTTAAAAATACGAATTTTTTAATCGCTGCGTTAAAAATGCCGACTAACCTGCCTGATTTGATATGTATAATTTTTCTCAAAATATCGCATGGGTGATATAAACAAAATGATTCGATCCGTACTCACCATGAGTGTTGCTGTAGCTGACATTAGCTGCGACCTAAGGTCATTTATATTACAAAATTAATTAGCATTGTAATAGCAAGTAGTGATAGAGGAAGTGATGGAAATCTACAAATGAAATAGTAAATAAGTGAAAGAAGACAAAGTACAAGAAATTACCATATACCAAGGGTAAACCATGGTAGCAACAGGCAGTTTCGTCTAGTTTTTCGGTAGTATCCAAATTTCATCATAACAAGACGATAGATTGCAGTTAGAGAAAACGCAGCTCCCAGCATTGTATCAGCAAAGGTCTGGATGAAAAAAAGCTGGTTAAAAAGTAGGCAAACGGACAAATGTCCTGATGTGATTTTAATTACCTGCGCGAATAGAATGGCATATTGGCGTCTGAGATATCGATGTTTAATTAGTGCCATTTCAATCAAACCATTGCTAATGATAAGAAGAAATCCTTCAAATGCATAGATAGCAAATGTAATCATAAGAAATAGCTGATTATTTTCCTTTAATTTACCGCTATCTTCATAATCATTTGCAGTGATATTCATTGCCGAAACTGTAAATTATTACTGAACTGAATTAATAAATAACCCAATAATAGAACTTTTGACAGTTTCAAAAAATAAAGTTGAAATCTTCGAGAAATCAGTATTGCATGTACTTTACTGATAACAAATCAATCAATAGACTGATAATATCATCTGTTAATATAATGAACTTAACAAGAATGGAGCAACCATTAAACCTTTTCAAATCTTTTTGCAGTGACGAAAAATAGTTTATTTCAATATCTTTAGCGAAATGTCTTTTACACAGTGTATTATTATCTATTACAAAGTTTCGCTTGTATATATTGAATAGTTAATTTTTATTTCGTTATGCAACTTAATTAAATCATAACATAAATAAAAAGTAAAAATTTGTAGTTTCAATAAGCAACACATTATTTTCTTACTGCTCGTTAATCATTTATTATTTGATTAGTAATTGAATTTTTAATTACAATTAATAAAATATAAAACTTAGAGCAGAAAATATAAGACTAAGATTTGTTGTGAATTGTCAAAAAATAAAGCTATTGCTGAGAGAGTGTTGCATTATATATTATCCATTAAGTTTGATCCATTAAGGTAATATAAGATTTGAGTGAAGATTGCATATGGATACGATGCAACTATATCTGCTGATGATATCTTCAGTCTATTTAAAAACAATGAGATAATTAATTACAATATAGCTACAGTTGAAATAAATGAACCAGTACAAAACTATTACTACCATACTACATTTTATCTCCCTATGCTAATAATTTTAGGAGGGAAACTCAGATCAGTTCTTTTGAAATATTGTCAAAATGTTATGCGAACAGAAATATTGCAAAAATAAACTTTATCATTGTATGAATATATTCAATATAAGCGAATAGGACTTATTAGATCACCTGAAATGTAATTTTCTACTCCAAACTATCACAGAAATTAAATCTAATGTATTCAAAATATCATATCCATCACTATTATTAACTGACACTAAAATAATCGAATGTTTTATCATTTGGCTAAAATAAGAAGAATATTGGCAGAATCGTAAATAAAATAAACTTTTGATAAAATGCAAATTTATAAAGGAAATTTTTGATGATAATATCAAGGCAGATATGAAGCATTGTTATAAAAATCTGCAGCAGTTATATAAATCTTGTAGTATAAAATAATTATGAAATACCGTAACATTCGATAGAATCGATAGAACGATTAGATCATTGTAATAGTGGGGAATATAATTTAAAATGAATCATACGAAAATTAAATTTCACAATTAGCCCGTCATCATCATTTGTCATCTTAGTCATCATCATTTGTCATCATTATCATATCATATCACATCATATCATCATATCATGTTCATGTCCGCCATGGTGGTAGCAGGGAAATTATCATATCCGGATCGAATTAATTTTTTTCCTTTTTTCATTAAAGTTAGATATCAGCAATAACATTCATCATAGTAATAATTAGCATAATAGCTTGGTCTTAAAAGCTTATAATCATTTTTGTATGTATTTTAGTGGTTGGAATTCTGAAGGTAATAATTTTAGATACGTAATGATTGATAAATGTTGAAATCAATGCATTAATCTTTATCAAAGAAATATATAGAACTGTTGAAACTAAAGGGAAAATTGCTTTATCAGTGAAAGATGATGCCCAATTAATAATTCATTCATAACGCTAAGGAAAAGTATATTCGACAAATCAAAGAAGCTCATTATAAACTTATCAGCAAGAAGAAGCCAAAAAGTCAATTGAAGCGTAAACAATAAATTTTCAGTGATGGCAATAATTGTAATCATAAATTGAATGCCAACAATATTAATTAACAAGAATTTCAAATCCATTTATTTCCTTCTTTTTTCCACAAATATTATGAAAAAATTTTTTTAATTTTAACTGCTACTAAAATCAGAAATTGTCGTCTGTCAAATTTGAATCTCTTCTAATTTGCAACTAGAATTTGTTTATCTTATCTGATAGCTGATATCTTCCGAACGAAAGATTGAGTTGCATGTGATTATGATATATATATATCATTCTTGGCAATGACTGCCATATATTTGTTAACTGACAATAAGACTTACTGCAAAGTAGTAATTTACGTAAATGTACAAAATGCCTTCTGACTATTCTGTATAATATGTTTAAGTGAAAATTATCGGTTTGTTTTTTACAATCATGAAATAAGTAAAAGAAGGGTAAGACTTTTTTGCTTAGAACGACAATATAGTATTAATCGATCGAGCATTGACAAAGCAAAATATTTCAAAATTTTTATCAAAAGAATATTTCACTTCAACGTAATGAGTCTTATCTTCAAGTAGCATAATAAGCATGAAGACTTTGTAATATAGGAACTACAAATGAGTTATTACTTTTTATATTTGTGCTTTCCGTGATTCATACTTTTAGCATGATCAATAGTCAGTTCCTTCTTGGATCAGTGACTGGAATACTTGCAGTCGTGATATTACTAACCGTTTCACGATGACAAATGTTTTTATGAATGCATTCCGGTAATAATTCCTTTACGCGGCAT